CTAAAAAACACTTACCTTACTGCATGTAAGAAAACCAGCACACTCGAACTTCCCTTCACCACCACAGGACCGGCCTTTCGACAACCTTCAAAGTCCACGCTCGATTGCCTTCCTTGCAACCACCGTCTTCGACAACCCTCACCGTTCAACGAAGCTTCCAGTGGAGGTCAACAATGGTCTTCCAATCATATGCAATAACTTAGTGAAAAAAACGAGTCTCCACGGTTACTTGCAGTGTTGGTGCCTCTTCATTTCTCAAGAATAAAACGACGTCGTTTGGTCCTTTGGAAAGCTTTGCAATCCTTTTGATTCAAAACGTCGTCGTCCAGCTTTCCACCGTGTCCACCGTGGAGTCCGCGTCAGCAGATAACGTGCCACATGCGCACCGTTAGTTTGACCGTGACAAAGGAGTTGACAGAAGGACTAACGCGACCCTTTTTTCATAACTTTAGGGACCAATTTGGTACTTTTATATTGTCAGGGACTAAAATGAATTTCGCTAATATTGCTAGGGACCAAAAATGGTGTTTACTCTTCAATTAAGATAAGCCATGGTATCTATTTAGCAATAGACTAAATTGTAACATCATATCTAAATCAATACCAGTTTCTGGGGAAGTGGATCGGGACGCACAAAATAAATCTTTAATATTAGTGTTAATACTAGTGTTGTATCAAAAATTCAGTGTATTCCACTAATAAAAATATTGTGTTAGTTAAAAAAAAAAATTTGTCATATTTTTTCTCTCTCTTCTGATTTGTAATGTTCTCATTGATGAGATGCACTGAATCTAGGTATACTAGTAGTACCAAAGATTTATTCGGACCCACAACAATATTATTAACTTGAAAAAATTATTTTCATGTTATATGAGATAAGTTTTTCCTCCTACATACTCTTCAATAATTGTGCCATTTTTGTTTTCAGGTGGTGGAGCTCACAAATTTATCTTTATGATTTGAAATAACTTATCTCCTTTATCATGAGATTAATAAACCCTATTAACTTTTGTCTTAGAAATTTCATCAAATGATTCCTTTAAATGGTTTTATTTATTGATAAGTTAAATATCTCGAAGGATAAGAGCAAATTTAAAGAATTTTAAAAAATTAAAAGTTAATAAACTTTGTTTATAAATAACATGATGAATCGCCTAAGTGAGTGAAAAAGATGAGTCTATGAGTAACGATGAAAGATTTACCCGAATCTTTAGGGTGGAATTATGTTTTAAATTAAGTAATAATTGTTCTTATACTATTTTTTTTCTCATTTATATATTTTAAAAATTACAAGTGGAAAATGGAGTACAATGTAGTATAAAATGAACAATATTTTTTAAATTTGTTTTTTATGTCGGACCTCCAAGGTAATTTTAATTGGGTTAGATATGCTTCTCCTAGTAAATGACCAATTAATATGTACTAAAAAAAATGACCAATTAATTGATAACAATTGCTGAATTAATAATTCATTAGAATAGGTATTCTTATGTTGAAAATTTACATGAGAGGATCATATGAAATTTTTATATTTATCTTTTTTTCATTAATAATAAGTAAATTTCACTTATTTATTATTTATAAAGAAAAAAATACACACAAAAATTTCACATTACAAATGATATAAAATTTTAAGACGAGAGTATTACTCCCATACTTTATACTTCGTTTAATTAATAGATAACATAAATAACCAATTAGTGTCTTTCGCCCATCACAAGTACAGTGGGGGTGTAAATAATAAAAGGTAAAATGTGTGTCATTTAAAAGGATATAAAGTTATATTATTTTAAGTGAGAAAAAAAATAAATGATAGAGAAGAGAGAGTGGACAAAAAAAAATGTAGATCCCACCTTTTTATAAAAATAAAATGACATGAATTATATCATTTAAAAATATTTATATTTTTTCCAATAATAAATAATCTCCACAACTTTACTTTTGCTTTCCCTTATGGTATCGTGGCGAATCTCAACGTTGATAAATTATAGGAAAATGTGTTTGTCATTTTGAACGACAGAAAGTTATGTCATTTTAAGAGAAATACAGATACAAAAAATTTGAATTTTAAATTAAAAAGAACCACTCACTTTCTCTCTCCATGAATTCTATTTTTCTGTGTCTATCTCTCTCCTAAAATAACATAACTTATGTTATTTAAAATGAGAAACACCGAATCCTAAATTATATTATATATACATGTGGCAGCGCCACAACTAGTTAGCTTTATGAAACTGCAAAGCTGGCACATTTACGACGTCGTGCCGCTGCATCTGCTCATACTAGCAAAACTGACTGGGGCCCCACGCAAGGACCAACCTTGCAGGTAAAATTTGTTGCACATCGAGAACAGCGTGCTCCTGCGTTCTGAAATCATTACCGTTTTCAAAAAAGTAATTTGCATCTACTTTCTACACGTGTCATCCTACCATTGTAGGAGTCTGGCGGTTTTACTGTATACCCGTTAATGCCGAACAACACCACCGCATGGCTTGTCCATTTGCAACATCATCGTTCACATGAAGCTTTGTGTGTGCTCTTCTGAACGCGCCACGTTTCACCTCCTGAGCCATCCCTGCATTTACAAGAATGCCCCTCAATTATATTTGATTTGCACGTGTTTATAGGACAAACTGTATTATTATTAAGGGATAAAGTTGTATATTTTTTAACTAAAAAGAATACATCATTTTAATGACATATTTTGTGTTCTTTTACTTTCATTTCATAAAGATATAGGATTCACATTTTTTAAATTTTTTCCATCCACTCTTTTCCCATTATTTATCACATTCTCTCATGTGGTGTTGGTTGGGAGCTTTTCAGCGGATATCTATATTTTTTAAGTATGGCTTTTAAAAACACCATGTTTGTTTTAACGTATTTTCACCAAAAACTCATCTATCCAATTTATATGGATTTATGAGAAACATAGATATCCGCACTGTTTAGAAATCCAATTTGAAGGTGAGATTTTTCAGAAAACCGGTTATCCGACTTTTAATGCACTGTTGATTTCATAAAGTTATCTAATTTTTCCAGTAAAGTTTTTTCCACCAAACAACATTTTTTTTACATTTTTCTACCTATCTCATTTTATCTATTTTTCCAATCATTTCTCTATCTATTGCATTTCCCTATTATTTCAAAAAAAATTCCTCAACCAAACGTCCCCTCATTATGTCATTCGAAATGATACACATTTTTTTCTATTATTAAACACAAAAGTCTTCTCCATTAAAAATTGTAATTTACTTTTTTTTTTACGTTAATATTTTTGCTAATAATTTAGTAATACTTAAGCAAATAAATAAACTCTTTAATAATATATTGCCACCTTTATTTATCCAATTAAGAACCGGGTCAGGGTTGTTATCGAAGAAATCAAATTGGTGTAAACCTGTGTTGTAATTATCCTATAGAATTCAAATTATATTTAATTTGTTTTTTATTTTTATTAATCTGTTTTATCTTAATAAATTTGATTTACCTCCCTTTAAAGAATATAACTTATGTCATTTTAGATCTTAACCGTTGATTTTCATCAATTAACAATTATAATTTCTTGAATCATATTTATTAATTAATTAATAATTTACGATAAATTATAATTGTTGATTGACGAAAATTAACTGTTAAAAATTAAAATAACACAAAATTATATTCTTTAAAAGTACAAACACTTTTCTCTGTCTTATTTTATTTGGAATTATGTTATTAGATAATTTATTAAAATATGCGAGTAGCTGTAGATATGTAATTTAAATTTGTAAATAAGTGAAATTTAAATTTTAAGTTTTGTAAATATTTAGTCTTATCCAATGCTCCATTAGAAAATTGTAATTTAAATTTTTTTCGACGGTTATGTTTTTACGAATAGTTTCATAATATGTAAATAAATAAATAAACTCTAAACAACCTAGTGCCACATGCCACTAGATCACTCCATAAAATATTGATATCTTTACTTATCCAATTATATTAGGGATTTATCACTTTAGTGCGCAATCCGAAACTGAAATCTTAACAATTATAATCAGTTCTTTGGTCAAATTGTTTCATGGTTTAACTTTAGCATTTATCACTTCAGTGCACAATCGGTTGCTAGTTGCTAAGCATTAAAAGCTGTTGTGTTCACTCTGACTTTTCCAAGAACAAAATGCCGTACATGCTGAGTTTCATCATCATTAAAACATATAATTAGATCATAAAATTCAAATTATATTTAATTCATTTGATCTTAATTAATTTAGTTTATCTTAATAAATTTAATTTATCTTATCTCATTAATAATATGAGGAAGGTTATAGTTACAACTTTTTCTTTACAACCTCTTACAACCATAACCTAACACCGTGATTTTCACCAATCAACGGTTATTATTTATTGTGAATTAATAATTTATTAATGAGTTTAATTTGCGAAAATTATAACCGTTGATTGGTGAAAATCATCGGCATTAAAATATGGTTGTAAGAGGTTGTAAAAAAAAAGATTGTAAGTATAACCTACCTCTAATAATATTAGTTATTTTATTTCAAATTATACTATTAGATAATTTATTTGATCTATTAAAAAATATAATTAACTATTAGATAATTTCCTTTCAATTATCTCTCCTTTCTCTTATCCTATCCCTTGTTTCTTATCTATTTTATCTCTCCCTCTTTTTAAATATTCTCCTTTTTAAGGCTACACACATCCCCAAAGGCAAAGTTACAATATTTAAGGTTCACACGCTTTATCCAAAACAAATTATAAAAGCGTAAAATTATGCATGATTTAAGGAACAAATTAATGTTTTAGAGGTTATTTTTGGCAATATATGCATGATAAACAATCCCAGTAATACAAGAGTCCTATTGTAACACGGTGCAGCAGTTCCTTCTGTTTTCATCTTTTGTGCATTATTTTTCCTCAAAAGGACACAGGATAAACACCACCTTAACTGAACACTCTGAACCTTAGAAGCACATTGTTTTTTTTTCTACACTTGTTCTATGCCTTGGAACCACTCTGTTACTCAAGATTTCGCTTTGTTCACAAGACCCAAGAGAGCATGCATGTTCTCCAAGGTTGTCACATTCTCCGACCCGTTTCAGTCACATAGAAGAAAAGTGTTTTCTGGGTGTGGTTTAGGTGTTGGAACTTCTCTGGTTTTGTTGTGTGTTTTCTTTCTCAGTGTTTCCCTCAGGGTTCCAAAAGTTGTAGTCTTTATACCAGAATATAGTGCAAATTCTTCGTTTACTTCGTGCCCCTTGTCGTTTAATACTAATAACCACTCTTCTTCCTTTAAGAACAACGCTTCTGATACTTCAGAGTCTCAAAGTTCTGTGCAGAAAATTGAAGAAGGAAGTGTTGTTGTGAATAGAACTCGTGAAGTGAATGTGTCAGGCATTGAACCAGAGGGAAAGCATGAAGAGTATTTGATTGGGAAAAAGAATGTAACTGTCATTCATAAAATGCAAGTTGGTTTATATGAGAACTGTGACATCTTTGATGGAAAGTGGGTAAGAGATGATTCAAAGCCATACTATCCTTTAGGTTCTTGTACCCTCATGGATAGAGATTTTGATTGTCACCGTAATGGGAGACCAGATGATGAATATGTTAAATGGAAGTGGCAGCCAAATGGGTGCAACATTCCAAGGTATGATTAATGTTTTTGCATCAACACTATGAACTTTTATTATTCATCGAGAGTAGGAAAATAAAATTGTGTATAAAGTTAGGAGAATGGGGAATAATAAAGATTCAATATTTATTATGACAGTTAACATTGTGTAAGAGGGTATGGGTCAATATGATTTCATTAAACAAATAGAGTTTTGGGATCAACTGGTTATTTTAATATTTTCCTTATATTTGATTGATGTCACTTTGCTCTCAGTTTGAATGCAACTGATTTTCTGGAGAGGTTGAGGGGACAGAAGCTTGTTTTCGTGGGGGATTCGCTGAACAGGAACATGTGGGAGTCCCTGGTCTGTATACTCCGTAAAAGCATTAGAAACAAGAAACATGTTTTTGAAATTTCAGGGAGAATTGAATTTAAGAAGAAGGGTGTCTATTCTTTTAGATTTGAGGCAAGTTTCCAGTACATCTATGATATTTTTTTACGTATGAATCTTTTGATGGTATCTTACTAGAATTTCTTTGCTGTATTTTTAGGATTATAATTGTTCAGTGGATTTTGTTGTTTCACCATTCATTGTTCAAGAGTCAACTTTCAAAGGCAAAAATGTGTCATTTGAGACATTAAGATTGGATTTGATGGACCAGAAAACTACCAGGTATCAGGATGCTAATATCATAGTCTTCAATACTGGCCATTGGTGGACCCATGAAAAAACATCAAAAGGGTGAGTTCAGTCCCTTTTTTTTCAATTAAACATTGCCTTAAAATCACAGCCTATGCTTCAAAGTTGTCCTGAAGTCCATAGATAATACAACATTGTAATTTTGTCAAATGAGATTGCTTTATCAATCAAGATATTAATCTCTCTCGTCTTCTTTCCACATCTTTTTATATTTTGTCATATATTGCTCACTGTTTGTGCTCCTCACAAGCATATGGAATTAAGGTTTCTGATTTTTGTGTCATGTGGTACTGTTACAGAGAAAATTATTATCAAGAAGGAAACCATGTATACCCAAGACTCGAGGTTCAGGATGCATATACGAGGGCTTTGACCACATGGGCTAGATGGGTTGACCGAAATATTGATGCCAATCAAACTCAGGTTTTCTTCAGAGGATACTCATCAAGCCATTTCTGGTATTGTTCTCTTTTACATATCTTCCATATAATGCAATTGCATCTGGACTTGTTATTGTTTCATATTGTGGACTCTAAAATTTATTCATTTCCATAATGTTATGCGTTACTTTAAACTAGACACGCAAGCTTGCCAAGGTCCTATCTTATCTGATATTGACAGTCACTATGTTCACTTGCCCTGCTATAAATACATTTATGCAATAATGAACATGCAATGGTCATTGTTGGAAAATGGAGAATATGGAAGCATGGAACCATTTGGTAATTGACAGTATACCCTTAGCAATGTTACACAAGATCTCTTTATATATTAAATAAAGAGTAAACACCCTTTTTAGTCCCTGCCAATATTTACGATGTCCTTTTTAGTCCCTGGCAATAAAAAAGGACCAAATTGGTTCCTGAAATTACAAAAAAAGGGTCATGTTAGTCTTTATGTCAACTCCCAAATATGTAGAGTGGCCATTTTCTTGTACTTTCAGGGACCAATTTGGTCCTTTTTTATTGCCAGGGACTGAAAAGGACTTCGTAGATATTGCCAGGGACTAAAAAGGGTGTTTATTCTTAAATAAACTTGAAAACTTGAAATTAAATAAACAAAACAGTTTATATTATATGAGAAATATTAGCCTCATGTAATAGGAGACAATAAATCTCTCCTACATACTCAAAAAGACGTGGGACCCACTTCAAATTTGTTTTCCTTTTTCTGTGCAATGAGACCCACCTAATTTTGTGAGTGTAACATGAGATATGTTATCTCATGTTGCATAAAAAAATATAATCCCATATTATATTGGGTAGAACCTCTTTAGCTACTTTAGCTATATTATTATGGGGAAGGCTACTCTCATTTTACATGAGAGTAGTTCTCTCATGTTATAGAGAGAAGCGACGTGGGACTCACCATTAAAGGATAAAAAAGAAAAAAGAAAAAAAATAGTGTGTGAGATTTTCAATATGAGATAACATAAGATAATTACCTCATATAAAATGAGAGTAATATTTTCCTATTATTTTTGGTATTGGTTTATGACTTCAGCTAGTTCCCGCTTGACCCCACGCTGGAAAAACTATGTTGTCTAGTTGATGAGGTGTCAGTAGAATGTGATGCCCCTTCATAATTTAGAGCTTTTCAATAATTGTTAGTTATTTATCCTTTTGTTATTTGGGCTTTTTTTTTTATAGTTTAAGGCTTTTAAATAATTGTTAATTATTTACCTTTTTGTTATTCTGTTTTGTCTATTTAAGGGTTGGAGATTCCTATTATTATTTGGTTAATGAAATTTAGAAAAGAGAAATAGTATTTTCTCGCACTTCTTGTTTTCATTATTCATGTGTTTAGCCAATTGGTTACTGTAACATCCCGGGCGCTGACGAGGGCGGGGAGTGATCGCCGGTGCGAAAGGGCATGGACAAGGAGCAGCTCTTGACGGGCTTCCAGCGACGGGGGTACATGAATGAATCGAATCAACACCCGAAAGAGAGATTCCAGAGATTGTGCTGGTATGGGACGGTACAGTTGGGAATAACTTATAAGAATTAATTGGTACTACCTATACTAACAACATGCATCTACTTTCCGGTAGCCCGAAACGAAAGAACTTCATAGTTAAGCGTGCTTGACTTGGGGCAATTCTGGGATGAGTGACCTCCTGGGAAGTTTTCCCGGGAAGTGTGCGAGTGAGAACAAAGCACGCTGAAAAGTCTCGTGTTAGTGTGTGGGGACAGTCATTGATCCTTGCAAGTTGCCAGACGTTACAGTTACTGTTTCGACATTATTTGGTAATCAGAGCTCTGGTGGTCACATAAATGGCTTAACAGAACAATGGCGGTCGATGTTGAGGTCGTGGACGACGGGGTCGAGACAACGGCGGTGGTAGAGGGAGTGGTAACACCCTTAACGACAACGATGAACAACCACACATCTACGCGCGAGACGCCATAATTATAGCTGCAATGGCAGAACAATATAGACGAATTCAGGAGCTCGAACAACTGCTTGCTTGCCCTAACACAGTTGGACGAGTCGGATGAAGGAAGAGGGTTTGAAAGACCATCTCATGTAGAAGAAAGGAGCGAAAACCCATTCTGAAACAGCAGCGTCAAGGATGAAGCCAACCTGGTGATAAATCCTTTTTTTGCTAATATTGGGGTGAAGATTGAGATCTCGAAATTCGAGGGTACCACTCATCCAGATGAGTTTATCGACTGGTTACACATCGTCGAAAGGGTCTTTGACATCATAGACTTAACAGAAAACCAAAAGGTCTCTGTCTATTATGAATCCAAAGAAGAGAAGAACAATAGGTATTCATTCTATGATGAGGTCCCTATCTATGATGAATCGAATGAAGAGCAAAATGATGAGAATCTCATTTGGATACTCCAGTTTGTGACGAGTTTCCTATCTATGATAAGTATGATTGGGAGCAAGACGATGAGGATCCAGGGGCGGAAGAAATCCCTTATAGTAATTTCGGTGGAAAGTTAATCACTAGAAATTCTAATATCTTGACAAAGCGGAAGTTCTACCTAAAGATGTCATGCAGAATGATCTTTCATTCAAGAAGTCTTTAGTTTGCAAGCAATATTATGAATTTAGGCACAATGGGCATAACAACCTCATGCTCCATGGAGATAAAGATTTAGCTTTTGGAGGAAGAATTTAGGGGCAATGAGACTCGATGTTACATCAGGAAGAATTTTCCTATGGCGGATCACAGATGCGATCATTGAACCAAACTACAGGCAATAGTTCATTTCTAATAGTTTATGGATTTTGTCCACTTACTCCCTTAGAACTCGCATTATTTCTAGTTCCCAAGCAGTTTAGTTCGAATGCAGATGAACATACCAAACATATCGAAGAATCGCATTCACAAATCCAAAACTTAATTAGGGAATTTGGTGATATTATACCAGAAGAGTTGCCACTTGGGTTACCACCTAAAGAAGTTGATATCAATGAAGACGAAGCAGATTCATAGGCGAATCTTTTCCTAGCGGGGGAGGATGATGCACCCTAGCTGACTGACTTGGATTAGACTTTTCCATAGTTTAGGATTTTTCAATAATTGTTAGTTATTTGCCCTTTTGTTATTTGGGCATTTTTTTATAGTTTAGGATTTTTCAATAATTGTTAGTTATTTACCCTTTTGTTATTCTGTTTTGCCTATTTAAGGGTTGGAGAACCCTATTGTTATTTGGTTGTTTTTGGTTAATAAAATATAGAAAAAAGAAATAGTATTTTCTCGCACTTTTTGTGTTCGTTATTCTTTTGTTTAGCCAATTGATTATTGCTACGGCATGAAAATGGTATGAGCTTGCCTTCAATATATTGATATTGTTGTAAACTCCAGCAAATCCTAGAATACAATTGGCTTTCAAAAAATGCTAATTTTTTTTAAACCATTTTTTGCTTCACCCTCGCTAAGTTGATAACAAAATTTGGTTCCATGTTAAGCAACTTTAAATTAACCTGTTATTGTTGGAAATATTTTGGTGGAGTAATGGTGAAGTCCCATATTAACTAGAAATGAACTAAGTGAGGATCATATAAATGCAAGAAGACTCATAAACTTATAGTTTTAAGATTTTTGGTTGAGATGTAGTATCTGTTCACTATTGTGGCTTATTAGTCAAGATATCATTTGCAAAGGGTTTTACGCTCCTCCGTACCATTTCATTCTCACCGGCTATTTGGTAAAGAAAAAAAAACCTGTCATCATTTACTAACCAAGTATCATTTTAGTTAACTACTTGCAATAAAATTAGCCTTTTATTCATTTGACTTAATCACTATCATAATTGGTCAATGTGAAATCTCTTCTTCTTATGAAACTTGTCCAAGGTGGTGACTTCAATTTTATATTTTAGCAATTTAGTTATTGATATCCATCTTGAATGCCTTGATGAATAAATTCTAATACTTTGCAGGGGTGGGCAATGGAATTCAGGAGGACAGTGCCACAAAGAAACTGAGCCAATATTTGATGAGTCTTACTTACAAAAGTATCCTTCAAAAATGAGGGCTCTAGAACTTGTCATCCAAAATATGAAAACCCCAGTGACATATATGAACATAACTAGGCTCACAGATTACAGAAAAGATGGGCATCCTGCAATATACAGAAAGGGGTATAAGACATCAATGGAGCAGAAATCTGCTGCACCACTATATGAAGATTGCAGCCACTGGTGCTTGCCTGGGGTACCAGATACTTGGAATGAATTGCTATATGTTTCTCTCTTAAAACATGGAAAGGGGACTTGGAAAAGCTGAGCAAAAGTCCTTATAATCGTTCCAAAACCAATTTTTGATTCTTTATGCATATTTAGTTTCCACATATTTATATTATAACTTCCCATTTTATTTTATGTTTTGTAATTAGTGGTTATAGTCTCACCATTTCTCCAAAAAAAAAAAAAAAAAAAAGTGAGTTATTGGTTGAAATGGTAACAATTATTGACTCGTATTAATTTTAGCATATGGAATTTTCAATTTTGTGAATGTTTTTATATGGAGAGGATAAACCATTTTTGCATTTAGTTTCCTGAAATACTTCCAATGCAGTAAAATCAGAAGCTCAAATGAAAAAGGGGTAATGTCATTATTGACTTTTAACAACCATTCAAAGAGGGCTATGAAGCTTTTTCTAATCAACTTGTACAGAATACAATCCTACACTTAAAGCGGAAAAAAACACTATGATTGATTTATTGCTTATAAGGCAACAACATTGCAAGGAAACACAAATGAGAAAAAGAACACAAGACACAACAAAGGAAGGGACAAGGATGATTATAACTACCTACCTACGATCATCTGCAGGAACTGAAGAGAAAACCAGATTCTAGTCAGCTGCAAATTGATTGACATGGACAGCACAAGTTGGTAGCCTCTCAAAGGAAGAACATCTTTGTTTATTACATTCTATTGGAAGAAGAACTAAAATAGAGTCATACAATAGAGCCATAAGGACCCCTAATGGAGTCCATTGCCTTTTAGTGACTTGCCGGTTTGCTAGGCTAAAGCCAAAGCATCTGTTCCTATGGAGAATGTTTCTCTGCTTCTGTTACTCATAGAGAATGATTCTCCATATCCTTGTTGATTACTGATCACAGAAGCCATTGGCTAAGCTTAAGCAAACTGTTGGAGGTGGAGGAGTGGGAGGGATAAGGACCCTCTCACAAGTCCTCCATGCTTCTTTAAGAGCCATGGATGGATTTTTGCCAATGAAGTTCCATGCCTACAAGATTCAGGATTTGATAGATTTGTTTGTAATATGTCCAAATGGCTCTATAGAAAGCTAGTGGAGATGTTGGTTTCTGACCATTGCTTTAAATAGCTGATGATTGAGAACTCAGAAGTGGTGTCATCTATTCATTATCCAAATACATTCTTGTTTTTTTCTTTCAATCCATCAAAAGTTGATATTGTAGAAAGTGATAAAAGATAGTAAACAGTGTAGAGTCCACTAAAATAAATAATTAGGTAAAAGCATTTATTTGATTTATATGACAATCTTAACCTTAACCAGGTTAGACCTACCCCTAAATAATTCTTTTTTCTTGCTTGAGGGCAAACTTTCAAACAATGGTAAAGTTGTTTCTTGTGATCAAAAAGTTAAAAATTTAAATATGAAAACAGTCTCTTTGTAAATATATATGGATAAAGCTATGTACAATCAACCTTTACCCTTCTCCTCACAAGTCGGGCAAGTCGGAAAACTTTGCGCACTGGGTTTGCCCTTAGTTTAAATGAAAAAAAAACTCTTACCTTAATCTGGACATCCCATTCTTCTACTACTTTAGTTGTATCTAATTTATATGATCTACATCTTGTAAAGAGCAATAGACAGCAAACTACATATTATGTTTACTAAGAGGCATTTCAGGGAATTTAAGATGAAATAGTGAATCGTGTCAAGTTTCCATAGAATAGATATCAACTTGAAATTTTTGTATCATTAAAGGATATGACTGTCAATATAATAAACTTTAACACATGGGTACAGACCCTTTGCTTTTTCATTTGTGCTTGACTTTTGATTATTGGATGTTTCTTGTATATATATTGCATCAGTGAATCCACTAGCTGATTCTCATCCCCACTTTTCTTTCAATGATATATACCATTCTTAATCGTCCCCACTAATTTTATTCTTGCTCGCCAGCCATGCCAGCAAAGCTATTCTACAATAGGCATTCTTGTTTTCTTGTCTTTTGTACTTTGCAACGTGTCAAAATAAGTTGCATCTGATTTGAGAGCTTAAAATCTCGAAACATTATCCCTCAATAAAGTCAAATTTGTTTAACTTAGCTTTTAATCCCCTAGCATACCCTGCTTTAATATTTCTAGGTGCCTTTTTCAACTTTCTTTTTTAAAAGAATGATTCCATTATCACCAAATAGTGAAACCATTTGTTTTATATATTTAGTCAATAAAAGTAGCAGTCAATAGGTTGAACTAATTACATTGGAGAGTCATTTCTTTTTTCTAATAGCTGGCCTTACGGATAACTCAAACTTCCCTTCAAGACCCTTTGATGAGTTTTACTGAAAAGGCAAGTGATCTCCTTATCAGATATGCACACAATAATGGCAGCTAGACTACCACTCAAGTTTTTTTGCCTTGCCTCTTCTTTAAGCAAACAAACGAAAGTTATCACCTTTTTTGTTCCCTTTTAGAATTTCACTTTGCTATTTATTTATTATTGTTGTAACAAATCATTTGTTAATGCCAGCAGCTAAACACATTATTTTGATTATATTTTTTTTAACCCACATAATGGGCATTCTACAAGCCAACGGCTGAGCCACTTGATAGTTAGCTGGTGTTTTGGCACTAGCTGATTTTTTAAAATGGTATAGATTTTTTTTTTAAATTACGATATATGCTTGGCACTTATTGGATTTTTAAAAATATAACATTGGCACTGGTCGGGTCTTTTAGCATTGACTGAATTTTTTTCTGGCTCCGCCACTGATACAAGCATTTGGAGATTATCGGCATTATCTATTCTAAGGTAAATCCCCGATAAATAAACGTTAAATATCACAAATAAATCTTCTAAAACCTTAGCCTCATTACTCCTACTATGCAACAAACACATTCCATCTGCTTGAATTGAATAATATAAAAGACAAATGCCGATGCACAAGGCTTTTAACTTTTGAGGATCAATTATACAAAATTTTACTCTTATATTTTATATAAAGAGATTATTTTTCATATTTGAATCCATGATCTTCAGTCATAAGAATAAATTTTACCTCTGCTCAAAACTTGCTCTTTTGGATCAAACAATTATTAAAAAAAAAATTCATTTGATTAATTTGGTAAGAAAATAAAATAAAAAATTGATTTGTCTTTGAGTTATTTATTTATACAATAACCTTGTTGTTCTCCTCATAATAGTGAAAATCATTATGGTCCACCACGTTTACCAATGGACACATGACAACGAATGAGAAAGATGAGTTGGTTTCAATTTGCTATCACGTAATTTTTGGGACCCTCGTTATCAAAATTTCTAAGTTTTACTGTGAGTTCAGTTTAATTTACGTTCAAATTTGGTTGATTGCCTATGGAGTCATCATCGTAGTAATTATAAATGTTGTCATCTACTTTCCAGACGTCATAGGAAGGCGTAGGACAACTGACATTTCAATGATGTAGTTTCAAATTGGAATCAAACAAATGGGGCCCTTGTTCTCATTATTTTCAATCCAAGATCAAGGTCACTTTTCTGTGTAGTTGTTATTACAGGTTTGAATATCATCGATCTCTGATTTTCATATGGCCACCACCAACCAGATCTTGGCCTAATATTGGAAAATACCATTTTCAATGTGGTATTTTGAAATAATTAGGTAAGTGAAAAAATGAGCATCAAATCATGGATCAAAATGACCCTCCCATCATATAAAGTGAATGTATATTTCAGATTCAAAACTTATAAAAAGGTTATTTTCGTATTTTTAACTCATTTTTTTATCAATATTTTACTTTCAACCAAACATAGACTCAGTAAATTTAACCTAATTTTTCTGATAATATTTCGCCCTATCAAACAACTTTTTTTTTTAACTTTCTTACCAAACTCACTTTTCCACCATATTCATAGTAATTATATTTCTTTGGTAAAAGAAATTTTCTTCTCTACCCAACGTCCCCTAAAGATATTAGGAGGCCTTCCATATATTCTTTACATTAGCATTGCTTTAGTGGGAATGACATCTCAACAGTGCAATATATATTGCCATAATCATAGTTCCCCTTTTATTTTTATAAATACATATATATTTTTTAACATGTATGTTGTACCGATAAAACTGCATCTTAGTGATGGAAAGATTATGAGTTCAAATTTAGAAAATAGTCCTTTGCAAATTTGCAAGGATAAAATTGTGTATAACTATTATTCTTACCTTTATCTCACTAGTTGGGATTTAGGGTTCATTTGCTGAACAGGATATGATACGCTATCATATCTTTCTTTTTTTTATCTATTGTTTGGTGATCTAACAAGAAATCTAAGCTTATTTTATTGACTCATTTTATCGTGTCAAAGTAGAATAAGCTATCTTAAGGGGAACTTAAGTTATGAATAAACATAGATAGAATAGAAAATATCACATCACTCTGATCCAAATGTAACCCTATGCTCTTCTACGAAATTTGTTAGGCACGTGAGGATTGACCCTTGCAACTGGTCATTCACCACAGCCACCACGACATAGATAGAATAGATAAAAAAATTTTAAGAACTCGCACCGTTAAATAGAGATTTTAGAAAGTTAATAATATTTAAATAAGGATTAGTAAATGGGATATATTTAATAATTTTAATTATTTTAAGTAAAGCACCTTTTTGAGAAAAAGGTCAATATTGAGTATTTCGCGGTAAAATTTCAGTAAGCAAAATTACCCGAAATTATAGAAATAATATGGTGACTATAATTACATAAATTTTATGAAGTTAATGACAAAATAATAATTATGATAATATTAGTAGGAAATATAAATCTTGGAATCTAGCCATTTTTAGTGAAAAATATTGATACTGCAGGTACGAAAAAATACCCAAAACTAAAAATAAATTATAGATTTATGCATCATAAATTTTATATGACACGACGGCCCAAAATGATTAGAGATTTAAGCGAGTGGAATTTTGTGGATTAGTACTGGTTAAGTTAGTGAGTCTATCCTAAAATAGCAAAGGCTACTTGTAATAACCCACACGGCCACACCGTTAAATTAGAAATTTTAAAGAGTTAAATATGAATTTGGAAATAAT